TCCCATCATGCCCCGCGGCGCCCGCGGAGCCTCTTCCAGGCGGTCTCTGCCCCCGCGGGGCATGATGGGAGTTGTAGTCTTTTTTTTTAGCGGTGATGGCGGCTGATGGGCTGTGGCGTCAGGGCCTTGTTGGGGTTGAAATCGCGGGGTTGTGCCAAAAAAAAACAAACACGGGGTTGGAGCTGAGATGGGTCTGGTGGGCAGCAGGATCTCCATGGGGCGGCGATGTGTGTGCCAGGAGGGCCAGTATTGTCCTGGGGTGCATGGGGTGTCCAATACAGGATCATAGAGTCATGGGAGGGTTTTGGGTTGGAAAGGAGCTTAAAGATCATCCAGATCCAACCCCAGGGACACCTCCCACCATTCCAGGCTGCTCCAAGCCCCATCCAACCTGCCCTTCAACACTGCCAGGGATGGGGCAGCCACAGCTTCCCTGGGCAACCTGGGCCAGGCTCTCCCCACCCTCACAGCCCAGAATTTCTCCCTCCCATCTCAGCTCCAGCTCCCTCTGCCAGCTGGAAACCCTTCCCCCTGCTCCCATCCCTCCCTGCCCTTGTCCCAAGCCCCTCCCCAGCTTTCCAGGAGCCCCTTCAGGCACTGGATTCTATGATTCCAACATCTGGGAGACGCCCTGGAAACCCCCACGCTTCTGCTGATCCATCGTTCCCCCATTTCCATGAGCAATTCCAGTGTTTTCTGACCTTGCTCTTGGTAGGGACGTTCCCACTGACTCCCTTGCTCTTCCCATCAGGTCTTTTGAAGTGGTTTATACGTTATTGAAAAGCTCCAGGGGTGGTTTAGCAGGGAACAGAGACAATTAGTCCGGCGCTTTGTAACATCTCCAGGGTTTCCTGCTTCCACAGGTCAGAAGGATCAATTTCTTCTGTTCCCTTCACTCCTAAGCTTGGGCTACCTTGGGTGCTCACTTTCTTTTTTGCCTTCCATTCTCTTTCTTTGTGCTTCAAAGGGCTGGGAGGGGGTTGTTTTCCTGCCACCACCATCGTGCCGCGCGTTGGTTCCTCAACACGTCGAAGCCACAGAACAAACTGCTTCTTTTGAGCTGCCCCAGGGTGAAAGTAAAACCCAAACGTCAGCTCAGAAAGCGTTTTGAGCTGCTCTTTGTAGCCTGGCACCTCTGGGAGGGCAGCTTTGGCTGGGCTAAGTCAGCGTTTAACATCCTTTCTAATGTCATAACTGCGAGGCAGGTTCTGGGATGACTCGTCTGGCTGAGTTCCTGGTTCTCAGGAGCAGCTGAGTTCTCAGTCAGGGGATGAGGACTCATGAAAAACTTCCAGGTCACCTCAATATGGGGCTAGGGGTGGAGCTGCTGGACTTGTCTCTTTTTTTCCCCTTTGTGTGGAGTGAGATTGGTGTGATGCTGGACCAACCTGCCTTCTTTGCAGGTTGGTGTGTTCTATACAGTTGATCCCAGACGTGGGTCTCAGATCTGAGAGCATAATTCACTCCTGTTACAATAAAACCTAAATCCACTCAAAATTCAGTTCACATCACGAAGGAGAGGCTCATGGAGGACTCTCTGCCATGGGAAGGACCCTGTGGGGAAGCAGGGAAGGACTGTGAGGAATCCTTCTTCCTGAGGAGGAAGGAGCAGCAGGAACCACCAGCCTGTGAACTGACTCTAAACCCCATGGCTGTTCCAGTGCCTGACCACTCTTCCAGCATGGAAATCCTTCCTGATACCCAATCTAAAAACAACTTGAGGCCATTTCCTCTGGTTCTGTCATTATTCACTTGGGAGAAGAGCCCAACACCCACCTCCCTACAACCTCCTTTCAGGCAGTTGTAGAGAGCAATGAGGTCTCCCCTCAGCCTCCTCTAAAACATCCCCAGTTCCCTCAGCTGCTCCTCCTATGACTTGTTCTCTTGCTCACCAGCTTGGTGAAGGTTTCTCTCCTCCAACGTTATGTCTCTCCACAGTAGGTGTGTATTTTTTGGGAGAGCAGTGGGAAGGAACAGGTCCTGAGACCTAAAGTCATCCAACCCAGGTGTCAACAAGTTGGGAGAGACAACTCATGCCCTACAACAGTCTGTTCTCTGCAGCTCTCCATAACTTTCCACCTCCAACTCTTTCACCTTTGCTTTGGGAATGTCCTGCAGTAGAAATTGCAGAAATCCTTTTCCTCTTTCACCAGCTTTGTTTCAAATGTCTCCAACTCCTGGACTTCTACAGCTTTGACCAGGGGAGGAGTTTCTGGGCTTTGTTGGGAAGTTTGTTGCAGCCGGTTTTTCATTTCCCATTTATTTTATGATATCACATCACTTTAAAAAGAGCTACAATAAATCACTCATTTATTTTTAGGCATGTTAGGAGGGGGTGAGTCTCTCAAATTTTCACATTCTTGGGATTATGTGTTCCATCTAAAACATCCAGGTCTCCCAGATATTCCTCCCACTCCCTCTTTGGTAGGTATTTTCTCAGCAATTCCAGTTGTTTGCTGCATGTGTGGCATTTTAGGACCTTGCATGTTCTCAGCTGTAGCATTTCAGAAGGGATCACTGTTGCTCTGGCTGGAGCCAGAGACATCAGAGACATTCCTGCCTTCTCAACCATTGCATTTTCTGGGATGTGCAGGAGCTGCTTTTCTCACCTACAAATGTTTCTCTGTCCTTCTCACAGCTTGTCCCTTCCTGATGGAAAGCAGCAGACAAAGAGGAGATGCAAGAAGCTGCTCTGCTGAGGATCTGGCTTTTTTTTTGCTCCTCTTTGTCACTTTTTAAACTCGCCCCATTTTATTTCCTTTTCTTTTTCCTCTGCCAGATCTCATGGGGGGGATTTCCAAAGCAGAGCTCCTTGATCAAGCAGTGCTGGTGCTGCAGCTGCCTCTGTGTGTTGCTACTTGTCAAAAATGGTAAAGACTCAAAAACTTCAGGCCTATTTTGGGGGAAAACTTGAAATAGCTTCTCTTTTTTTTCTTTCCAGCCCTCTCCCCCTTCCTCTTTCTCATTCCTCAAGATTGTTAAACTTGACATCACTTGAAATGAGCTGGAAGAACTTCAACCTGAAGTGCTTTTTTCAGAGTCCCCCCTCACTGGATTCTCTCCATGCTTCAGGCAAGTGAGCAGGACTTTCCAGAGATGATTGATGGCTTCTCACAGAAATGTCCTTGCAATTAAAAGAACCTCAGCACATGCAAAGAGGAAGAAAACAGATTGATTTTGATTTTTCTCACTGCTTTTGTCCAGAAAGTGCATCAGATGGAGCTGTCTCAAAAGGTGGGCATGTTTTCTTCTCCTTTGCAGCCTCACGTTGAACTGGCTTCCCTTTCTACACTCAGTCCTGATCCACTTTGCCCCTGGAAAGCAACACTCTGGTGAGCTCAGCTTTGTCCTCCCTGCTGAGCCACGACAACACTCCCCCTTTGCACATTTTGTCACATTTCCATGGAATCACAGAATCACAGGGGTTGGAAGGGACCTCTGAAGATCAAGTCCAACCCCCCAGCTGCAGCAGGAACACCCAGGGCAGGTCACTCAGAAAGGCACCCAGACAGGGCTGGAAAGTCTCCAGAGAAGGAGACTCCACAACCTCTCAGGGCAGCCTGTCCCAGGGCTCTGTCACCCTCAGAGTAAAGACGTTTCTCCTCATGTTGTGATAGAACATCCTGTGCTGACACTTGGTGCCATTGCCCCCCATCCTATCACAGGCACCACTGAAAAGAAACTGGCCTGTGGTTTCTATGATTTAAGACTGGGCTTGGCCCCCCTTGTACCTGGGGATGAAGAATTACAGTACTAATTCTCTATACCCTTGAGGCACCAGGGAATCTTCAGCAATAAACATCTAAACTATGTGTTCACCCCAGGCAGAGCTGCTGGTTTGAAAAGCCTTTGGTGACAAGGAAATTGCAAGGGGCTCTATCTGCAGCTATTGAAGAGCTCTGCAAGTTGCAGCATTGCAGCCCACCTCCCACACCTTCTTTTGTTCAGCACTGGGGTTTTGATTCAGTATGCTGTCAGTTTTGTACCCAAATTCACTTTTCCTGCAGTAAAAGTGACCTTGGAGGTCACGGTGGAGAAGAAGCTCAACATGAGCCAGTGATGTGAGCCCAGAAACCACCCTGTGTGTCCTGGGCTGTCACCAGCAGGGTGACCAGCAGGGCCAGGGAGGGGATTGTCCCCTCTGCTCTGCTCTGCTGAGACCCCCCCTGCAGGGCTGGGGCCACCTCTGGGGTCCCCAACACCAGAAGGACAAGGAGCTGTTGGAGAGAGGCCAGAGGAGGCCCCAGAGATGCTGGGAGGGCTGGAGCAGCTCTGCTCTGGAGACAGGCTGGGAGAGTTGGGGTGTTGAGCCTGGAGAAGAGAAGGCTCCAGGGAGACCTTAGAGCAGCTTCCAGTGCCTGAAGGGGCTCCAGAAAAGCTGGGCAGGGGCTTGGGACAAGGGCAGGGAGGGATGGGAGCAGGGGGAAGGGTTTCCAGCTGGCAGAGGGAGCTGGAGCTGAGATGGGAGGGAGAAATTCTGGGCTGTGAGGGTGGGGAGAGCCTGGCCCAGGTTGCCCAGAGAAGCTGTGGCTGCCCCATCCCTGGCAGTGTTGAAGGGCAGGTTGGATGGGGCTTGGAGCAGCCTGGTCTGGTGGGAGGTGTCCCTGCCCATGCAGGAGGGGTAGAACTGAATGATCTTGAAGGTCCCTCCAACCCAAACCAGTCTGAGATTCTATCACTCTGTGGTAACTGCCCTGAGAGAAAGAGGAAATAAATCTCAAATTGTTCTTTTCAGTAAAGAATGAAAGAAAATAAAGGTAGGTGGGAGCTGCTGAAGTGCAGCTGAAGGGTTAAATGTGGTGCTACCCAGAGATGGCTCCTTTCCTAGCTCATCTCCAGCTGCTGGGGCTGTTAATGTAGATGGATTGTCTTCAGGAGGCCACCTCTGCCTAGGCTGCCTGTGGCCCCGTTTGATCATCTCCCACCCACAGGAGGGAACTCAGGACCCAGGCACGGAGACATTCCAGGCCCTGGCTCAGCAAGGGATTAAACTGAGGTTTCTCTCAGAGGGAACAGAGCCAGGTCTTCCCCAGCCCTTTCTTTTTGGGCACAGATTCTCTTGGGTCTAAAACCAGCTGAGGCCGCGTCACCGTTTTGACAAGGGGGGCCCCAAAACTGTTTAATTTCTCTCCTCTGACTTAGATTCCTGAAGTTTGTAGTTAATCTGCTGCCTCCAAGAGCTCTTGACTCCTTCAGGCTGTGACAGCACTAGGAAACTTGTGCCCTTGCTGCAGCAACCTCTGTGTGACAGCCCCAGACCTGCAGCCTGAGGGCACCAGGCTGCACAAAGACTCAACATGTGCTGGGGCTGCTGCAGAGAGCTCTCTGGAGGGCAGGACATCTCCTTTCCAGCCCACCAGAGGCAAGGAGGACCTGAGATTAATGACCTGGTCAACTAAAGGAAGGCATCAGGCCATGCCTGTGCTACTGAATAGATGGACCAAGGGAATGTCTTCTAGCCCTGAGGCCAAAAGATCTGATATAGTTTCTGTCCACGGAGCTAAATCACCAAAAAGGAGTCATGGAAACACAGAATGATAGAATAGTTTGGGTGGGAAGGGACCTGAAAGATCCTCTAATCCCTACTATGGGCAGGGACACCTCCCACTCAACCAGGCTGCTCCAAGACCTGTCCAACCTGCCCTTGAACACTTCCAGGGATGGGGCAGCCATGGGCTGGTGGTCACTGCAGAGAGCAAACCCTGCACAGGATGCCCCAACCTTCATCAGAGGAGACAGTGATAGGACAAGGGGTGATGGTTTTAAACTGAAGTTCCAGTGCCTGAAGGGGCTCTAGGAAATCTGGGGAGGGACTTGGGACAAGGGCAGGGAGGGATGGGAGCAGGGGGGATGGTTTTAAACTGAGAGAGGGGACATTTAGGTTAGTTATGAGGAAGAAATTCTTCACTCTAAGGGTGGTGAGGAACTGGGATGGGTTGCCCAGGGAGGTTGTTGATGCCCCATCCCAAAAAACCATGGAGGTTTTTAAGGCCAGGTTGGAGGAGGTTTTGTGCAACCTGGTCTGGTGGTTCCCCGCTCATGGCAGGGAGTTGGAACTTGGTGATCTTTAAGGTGCCTTCCAACCTTAGTGATTCCATGATTCTATGATGAATCCTGCAGCTCATCTCTGCCTTCATTCTTTGCTCACAACATCTGCTGTCTTTGCATAAATATTTCACTGGGAGCAGCTGCAGCTCCCTGGCAGAACAAGACTCAGCAGGGTTGTCTCTCAGCCCTCTTAGTTTTCCCCCTGCTCTGCAGGATTTTCTGTGTGTCCTCCAGAGAGGCTGGAGTTTTCATCTTCCTCTTTCAGGCTCCATCTCAGTACTTGGGGAGGCTTCACAGGAGGAAGCAGTCTGAGATGCCTCACAGGTGCTTGGCTGGGTGAATTTCAGGTGCTCCCCTTTCCTTTTGTCTCTTCTGGACAAGGTAGGTGAAAATGTTGTAGTCACTGTGGGTCACAGTCCAAAGTGAGGAGATGAGATAATGTGACTCTCCTTGTGATTCAGGTTACTGCAAAAAACATATTGCTAAGGGGGAAGGAGGGGTGTGTCTTGTTCTTTGCTCTCTGCTGGAGTTTTATAATGTGACTTGCTCAAGGATGGGCTTATTCAGCCTGGAGAAGAGGAGGCTCAGGGGGGACCTTCTCACTCTCTACAACCACCTGAAGGGAGGTTGGAGGCAGGTGGGGTAGGGCTCTTTTTCCAGGCAACCAGGGACAGGACAAGAGGGCCTGGCCTGAAGCTGCTCCAGGGGAGGCTTAGGTTGGATATCAGGAAGCACTTCCTCATGGAAAGGCTGCTCAGACCTTGGGATGGGCTGCCCAGGGAAGTGGTGGAGGCACCATCCTTGGAGGTGTTCAAGGACAGGCTGGATGTGGCACTTGGTGCCCTGGTCTGGCTGATGTGGTGGTGACAGGTCATAGGCTGGACCTGATGATCTCATAGGTCTGTTCCAGCCTCAATAATTCTTTGAGAATCTGAAAGGTCTTTTCCAGCCTTGGTGATTGTGTGACACGACCCCAACTGTGGCAGGAGGTGGCACCTCCTGTGCATGCAAAGACCTCTGAGGACTCAGGGTGCAAAATATCCCCCCTGGGGGGGAAGGGGCCCCACTGTCTGCTCTGTAAGTAAATGGTAACAACAATTAATCAGGACAAACATTAACTCCAGAGTTTTAATTACTTGTCAGAGCTCTGCCCCAGAGACAGAAAACCCAAATCTTCACACCCTCCTTCAGCTTCAGCTACTCAATAATCCTAATATCTTGTTTTTCTGTTGACTCCTTATTGTTTAAATACACTTAAAAACCAAAGAAATCTGTCTCATTCCTTAAAAAACCCTCCACATTTCTTTAAAAGAAAGAGAAAGACTTGGAACTAGTTTTTTGCTCCCAACTTAAGTCTGAACATTTCACAAAATCCTTCTTCAAAAAGAATTCACTGGTGCTGACAATATTGTCAGAGGCCTTGATGCTTCCACACCTCAATCAAAATCTCTGATACAGGAGGGGGAGGAAAGAGAGAAATTAATGGAAGATCCAGTTTTGTGGCTGTCAGGAAAAAAATCTGCACCATTTCCCATCTGAGAGTGCCTGGGGAAATAATTTTTAGCTTTGGGAAATACAGAAATTCCTTTTTAATAAAGTTATAAATAAATAACTTATTGGGAGGGGGGGGAGGGGAGTTAATGGATTTAGAAATAAGATTTGATAGAGTTTTCTGGGGTGAAGAGAAATTCCTGTTAAAGAGAGAGATTTGGTGTTAAATTAAGACTCAAGACAAAGATTTGGCTATCAAGGGTTGGTCCTGTTCCTCCCAGATGGGATTGGGGGTAGGACAGGTTTGGACTGGGAGACTGGGCAGTTGAGGAGCTGAGGCCCATGAGGAGAACCAGTCTTGGACTTGCTGTGTTTTCTCTGAAGATTGTCACTGGGGAGCTCAGGCTCTGCAGAAACCAGAAAGAAGTGAAGAAACACCAAGTGGGTTTTTATGGCAATGAAAAGTCAAACCCCCCCCCCTGCCTCCAGATCTCCAGCTGAACACCCAGAGCTTTGGGAGGTGGGGGAAAGGTAATATCTTCAGGATGTCAGGTGGCTGCTCTACCTCATCCGTAGGGAAGAGCAACTTCATTCCTAAGTAGTCACTGGTTTTAATTGCTCCAAAAGTTCATTGAGAGAAAGCAAGTCCAGAGGAGGCCCCAGAGATGCTGGGAGGGCTGGAGCAGCTCTGCTCTGGAGACAGGCTGGGAGAGTTGGGGTGTTGAGCCTGGAGAAGAGAAGGCTCCAGGGAGACCTTAGAGCAGCTTCCAGTGCCTGAAGGGGCTCCAGGAAAGCTGGGGAGGGGTTTGGGACAAGGGCAGGGAGGGATGGGAGCAGGGGGAAGGGTTTCCAGCTGGCAGAGGGAGCTGGAGCTGAGATGTGAGGGAGAAATTCTGGGCTGTGAGGGTGGGGAGAGCCTGGCCCAGGTTGCCCAGGGAAGCTGTGGCTGCCCCATCCCTGGCAGTGTTGAAGGGCAGGTTGGATGGGGCTTGGAGCAGCCTGGAATGGTGGGAGGTGTCCCTGCCCATGGCAGGGGGTTGGATCTAGATGATCATTAAGGTCCTTCCAACCCAAACCATCTCATCACTCTGTGACTACGCTGCATTCACACTGTGATGATTCTGTCCCATTGTCTCCTCACCAGAAGCATCAAGACACTACCCTGCCACCCAAATGAAGCCTCCATCATCATGGTAATTCAGATGCACACCCTGAGCAGAACTGTGACTGATTATGGTTCAAACCTTTCAATCTGTCCACCCCATTTTCAGCTCCTCTTGGGTCCTGATGCTCAGCTTTGGCTTCTCCAGGGAGACGAGCACGAGGAACTGGGCTCTGAACCATCAGACCTTCACCAGCAGCTGCTCCAGCTGTGGCCAGAAGTCGTCCAGCACCAGGACTAGACTCTCTGCAGCTGAGAGAGGAAATGATTCAAGCTTTAAACTTGCAATAAATAAATAAAAAAAAATCAGCAGATGCACCAGGTCTGACAGTATCACTGATCTTGCAGTCACACAACTCAATCCCAAGTCAGGAACACATCCCAGTACATCCCAGTGACTCCAGGCTTTTCCACACTTCACCAGCTTCTCAGAACTTCCCAGTGCTCACAAACACAACTCCTGCCTCTCTCCATTTCCATGTATTGGTTGAATTAATCACACAGTAAAGATGTTCCTGTCACACAGTGAACCAGCTTCAGTTCTGGGATCAGAACTCTGTGCTCCTTTTTTCCAGCCCTGGGGTTCAGCACTGAAAACCATCTTCTCTCTTGGGGAGCAAAATAGGAATTGCCTGGAGTGTTTCTGTAGTGTCCAAGTGACAACATGAGCCCTGAGTAGACATTTACCAGTGAGTAGTACCCAAGGCACCTCTGATGTGCTGCAGAAAGTCTAACCAAAGCCAAAACCTGAGTGGTCTGAGACCCTGATAATGATAATGACCTTGGTGGAGCTTGTTCTGATAAAGGCTTTTCATTTCCATCTACAGACTGTCAATTCCCTCCAAGAAAAGTGAGAGAAAGGCCTTGATTGACATGAAGAGCACAACAACCACCTATTTAATGCACACCCATGTCTGGAGCCCTGCTGAAGACATTTCAGGATGTGTCTCTTCCTACAGAAAGGCCTGTTCTGGTCTAGCTGAAAGAAAACAATTCATAGATTTCTGAATCTGGGAGGGAGTCCAGAGATGATCCACCCTGACCTTACCCATGGTGCAGGCCAAAAGAATGTCATCCTGCAGTTCTTCAGAGGAGCATTTGGGCTTGTGAGAACACTGTGATCACAGTGTTCTGGGGAACAGAAAGTAAGTATTTCTGTGGTGTTTTAATAAATTCTTAGGATAAGAAGAAGGGATGATGAATAACAAGATAAACCAGTGTGGTGCTCCCAGAGGGAACAGGTAAATTATCTGCTCCCTACATGTACTGGGGAAGTTTATTAGAATTTTGCCATTGCCTTCAAGGTAAAGGAATATTCTATCCTGTCATGTACTGAGTGCTTGTGTCTTCTTCTGAGGTCCACTGCATCCTAGGTTGCTCCTCAAACATGGAATGCTTTAGCCAAGTGCTTAACTCCAGCCCTAATCCCATTTTAGCTGCCTGCAACAACCCATCAGACAGAACTGTGGCAAGAAATTCCTGGGAGTAGTAAATCCAGGCTCTGCACAAACAGAAGCCTGGACTCACCACCACCATCTATTCCAGTTTCTAAAAGGCTGACTGCTTCTGGTTTTGCTTCAGAGAACATAGTCCCACATTTGCCTACAAAGAAAGGCTAAAAAGAGATATTGGATAGTTAGAATTAACCCCCTGCAGATCTGTTCAAATCCAGCATCCTGAGGTGCTCAACAAGAGTCTTCACTGCCTTTCTCCCCAGCTGTCCCCTTCCTAAAGGGCAGAAGACAAGGTAAACTGTGGGAGATGATTTCCATCCCAGTTGGTGGAAAGGGAAGGCAAGTCCCCAGGTTTTCCTAGTTCAAGTGGCACAGGAAATGCTTCACTTAATTAAAGTTTCTTGTAAAACCACTCCATGAGAATAACATCAAAAATAAGTGGGAAAACTAGAGCTTATGCAGCCTCTGCCATCTGGATGTCCAAGGTATTTGGGAGGGGCAGAGGAGCTGAGAACCTACCTCTCCTTTATGCTTTTGCCAGATGACCTGTAAAGGGGTTGAATAATCTATCTGTGGTCCTTCCCTGACAGGCTCAGCACAGCAAAGGGAACTAGCACAGGTGAAGCAGGCAAGTGTTCCCTCTAATCAAATTTCCCAGTCAGCTAAATGGAAAAAGAAATGATAAATAGGAAGCTTAATGCTCCCCACCCCAGTGTTACCCCATGGAGCAATGAGGTGGATGGATTCTGTGTGGATCCAGCTAATACAAACTATGTCAGGAATGAGCTGAGGAGTAAAGCTCTGGATGGGTGGGGAGAATCTGGCCCAGGTTGCCCAGAGAAACTGTGGCTGCCCCATCCCTGGCAGTGTTGAAGGGCAGGTTGGATGGGGCTTGGAGCAGCCTGGGCTGGTGGGAGGTGTCCCTGCCCATGCAGGGGGGTTGGAACTCAATGATCTTTCAGGTCCCTTCCAACCCAAGCCAGTCTGTGATTCTATGATTCCATGAAATTAGGAAAGACAAGATCACCATCATAGATCCCTCCCAAGGACAAAACCATTGTTGTGGTCTTAGCAATTAAAAGAAGCCATGGATGTAATTAGAAACTGTCCTGCTGA